TCCCTGTATGGTGAAACTATCATGAGACACGTAGAAGAAATGCCAGGTATCTCGATAGGGTTACATAATATAAACAATCTAAGATATGCAGACGACAGAGTCCTAATAGCAGAAGATGAAGAACACCTACAGAATCTATTAAATGTCATCGTACAAGAGAGTGACAACATGGGCTTAAGCCTAAACATCAAGAAAAACGAAACACTGGAAACGAGAAAAAGAGTACTGAAAAGTTACATCGAGCAAATCTTATTATACTGGTGCGAAGCATGGACAATCAATAAACAGCTGGAAAGAACAATTCTGGCTACAGATTTGTGGTTCATAAGACGCATGCTAGGTATCCCATGGACAGCTAGAAAAACAAACGAAGAAGTCTTGGTTGAAACAAATTGCAGAAGACAGCTTATGACGAATATACGAAAGCCACAGGCAAATTTCTTCGGACGCACAATGCGGAGAGAAGCATTGGAGAATATTGTAACAACAGGCAAGTTTGACAGAAAGAGAGGCAGAGGCAGACAGAGGGAAAAGATACTGGACAAGATGACAACATGGCTGAAAGCAGCAAGAACAACAGACACCATTGCTGCATCGCAAGACAGAGTGAAGTTGAGGTCCATGATCGCCCACGCCAGTCTGCAGGGCACCGGATGATGATGATGATGATGATGATGATGATGAAAATGTTGTTGTAGTTGTTGTTGTTTTTAAAATCTAGCCTCAATTATTGTGGAAAAAAACATTATAAAGTTAAGACAAATTGATACTAACTGCTGCGGAAAGTACGGATGACATTGATTCATTCGTTTAAGAGATATATTTGAGCATGAGTTGCGAAACGAATTTTTGACAGCACTTTAGTTTATGTTTTCTCACACTCGCAACACAAGTAGGTCGTATTAGGGCCAAGGATGAGTGGTGATACTAGAGAATAACATAGAAAAAAAAAGAAGGGGAGCGGTATGGACGATAATACATGTATATACTTGACTGGAAAGAAAGGGCAAACCACACCAGAGCACCTGCCAACCACCCACACTGATGATGATGATGATGATGATGATGATGATGATGATGATGATGATGATGATGATGATGATGATGATGATGATGATGACATTATGCAGGATAAATCTTCTATGTCAATGATGTCTGTTTTCAGGAGAGATGGAGTCGGAAGGGGGAGGATGGTGAGGGGGACGGAGAAGAGGAAGGAGGAGGAGGGGGGAGGAGGGAGGAGGGAGGAGGCCGCTTTCTCATTTCCCTGTTGTTCCCGCTGTCAGTCATTCAATGTCACCCAAACCAAACTCCCCAAACACAGATCAACAAACCATCCGAACTTGAAGGGGAAATTATGAGCGATTCCCTGTCGTCGACTGCCTGCTCTTTGATCCCCTGAAGGAAAAAAAAAACGAGAACCAGACGAACTGGATGAGGGTTGG